CAGGTGGAGCGGCAGCTGGTGAATCAGTTGGCGGCTGCGTTTGAGCAGGAGCTGCTGCCGAAGGGCTGTACGCTGCGTCTGAGCGTCGACGGAGAGCAGGAGAAGGACGGAGCTCCAGCTCTGCATCTGGAGGTGGTGGGTGAAGACAGCACCGCCCGAAAACTGGACATCCACCCGCCGCTGAACAACTGAGGACGTGACGTACACCCCCCGACATCACTGAGACTCGGACAGAATCAGACCAGCACATGCGCTGCAGTGTTTGTCTGGTAATCAATCACTCACACACACATCCGGTTATTGGCAGAAATGTAAAAATGACGTATGCGGCGTTCTCATCTGCAAACACACCCGCAACGTTAATAACTCACATAAATCACACATGATGTTTGTAATAAAGAAGATCTCCATCACGTGTTCAGACGTATAGATGTGCGTATTCATTCATGGACGTTACAGTATATAAGAGAACGTCTTGTGGTGCATGTGATCACTGATGTTCTGTTTTCAGCAGCAGCACATGTTCATCTGAATTAAAGTGTATTCTGTACTTTAAACACTAATGTTTCTTGTTAATATGAAATATAAATGCAGTTAATTCATGTATTGTGAATGATTCATCAGCTTTATTCCAAAGAAAAAACAACACTTCACAAAAAGGTTTAATTTGGTATATTTTATTTTATTTTTTTATTTTATATTATATCATTACATATTATTATAATAAATATAATAGTATATATATTAGTTATGATCATTTCAGCATTCACTAATACATTATTAAAATTCTAATTAGTTGACATTAATGCACGGTGAAATAACATGAGCAAACATTGAACGATCGTATTCAGTTATACTTTATTTTTATGGCGTGTAATTATGCATTTAAGTACGGAGTAATATTAATTAACCACATGTACTTACCGTATGATTAAGGATGAGGGTTTGATTTAGGGTTAGTTGCATGTAATTATGCTTAATTTTTTGTTATTACTATAGTAAGTACATGAAACGTGAAAATAAAGTATTAGTCAGTATTTTTATTAACTAACATTAATAAATCTAAAAAAAAATGTATATTGCTCACTGTTGATTCATGTTAATATATTAACTAATGCTAACAAATAAAACCTTACTGTAAATCATAATCTCAAGCACTGTTTCTGTGGCATTGATTCCTCTAATACAGCATAGTCCTCATGGATTTTCTCATGGAGAAAATAAATCAAGTCCTGCTCTGCATTTTGTCTCAAATATTCAGTTTCGCTTCAGATATGTAAAATTGGTTGTGATGTTGTAATTGAAGTGATTAGAGGAGGAACTGCCTTCATCAAATCCTGCAGCGGAGCAGAAACATCTGGAACATGAAGATCTACAGGTGCTTTTGTGTGTTTATTGCAGGTTCACCGTTTTTTTTAATTCTTGTACACAAAGCTCAATAAAGTTCAGAAAGTGGAATCTCTGACTGACGGCTGTTCTTTGAGCGGATGCTGGTGAACACTTTTACTTCAGGAATGTTGTGATCTCTGCAGGGCGTAGTTAAGCAGCAAGAAACATGCGGCGGGAATGTGTTTGAGAGCGTGTGTGTGTGTGTGTGTGTGTGAGAGTGTGTGAGAGTGTGTGTGATCGGTGTGTGTGTGTGTGTGCGTGAGTGTGTGTGTGTGTGTGTGTGTGTGTGTGTGAGAGTGATGCAGGAGGAGGAATGCATGACACATTCCTTCTTTTCTCTGCATCCTTCTTTACACATGTAGGGATTCATTCACTTCCTGTGGGGATGAAATTAGCATCGTAAAACAGAATCCTGCTGCCCGCCGGACCTCCCACAACACACACAGTAAAGCAGTCCTGTGTGTGTGTGTGTGTGTGTGTGTGTGTGTGTGTGTTGCATTTGGCATGTTACAAACTTCAGTTCATTCAGTGGTTTTGCAGTATTTTGGATGCAAACGCTGCATTAATGTCAGTCTGTTCATATCAGAATGCATTCACTAGAATCTCTTGGGGAACATCAGGTTGTTTTGGGTTTGTTTTATTATTTATTTTGATTACATTTTATGTGCCATTTGCTTTTTTTGGATGAAATCAAAATTCAGACTGAATTGATCTGAGTCTTTTAGAGCTGCTTAACACTGTAAATTACACTGTAACAAGCGTTCACTTAAAACTGTTTTAAGTGAACGCTTGAGATACACAGAAGTAAAACTGCAAATGTTTACATAATAAAAATAAAGCATTAAAAATAAGAAAAATAAAGAAGAGAGGAAAAAACAAAATTGAACGATATTGTAGAAGTCTGATGTTTTAGAAGTCTATTTGAGAATAATAGAAAGTTGAATTGAGAAGTGAACGAGTGTCAGACAGATGTGTGTTTGAGAAGATGCTGCAGCAGCAGATCTCATGTTACTGAGAAAATCTGCTTCAGCCTCTAAAAGAGTCCAATTCAATTATAAACCCAGAGAGAGAGACAGCTTTCATTACTCTGTCTCACACACACACTCTCATGGTAATGCCTGTGTGTGTGTGTGTGTGTGTGTGTGTGTGTGTGTGTGTGTGTCAGTGTACGAGTGTTATTCATTTAATGGATTTTCTACTCGTGGGTTGGAAAGTGTTGTCAAATGTCTTTCATCAGATAGAATTAACTTCTTCAAATGGAGGTAAATTGCACCCTAGGGAGGTTTGAGACGGTGTATGAGACAGACAGAGAAAGAGAGATACAGTACTTGTCAAAATTTTGAAGCATTATGATTTTTAAATGTTTTTCATGGAGTCTCTTACCAAGGCAGCATTTATTTGATCAAAAATATAATAAAAAAGTGAAATTGTGAAATATGACTTCAAC